ATAAGAAACTTAACGAACCAGTAGAATAGAACACTGAAAATATTCGCAGTCTCCCTGGGGTTTGGCTTCAAGTCAGTCGTATCTTTATCCATGTTATCGTATTTTCTCACAAGATTTAACGACACTTCAAACCAATAGAAAACTAATGAAAATAATTAGCACTCTTATTTTCTCTTTTTCGTTTTCTCTTCCTCGTTCTCTGCCGTTCCGAGAAACGCTTTCCAATAGTCAATACTTTACTGGAACCACCAGTGTGTACTTATTTTTCATATCGGCGTCATCGTCTTGCAGTACGATAACGATAATTATCCCGCGGTACGTTGTATAAAAACATTAATGTAAAACACTTCTCGTGTTCCTTTTTCGCGCGTTGTTTCACGTAAATTATTCAACATACCTAACACTTCTTTTTCTTTTTTTTTAAATTTATTTCTTATAGTAAAATGTTATTTGTTTCTGAATCTAATTTTTCTCCAATTATTTAAACGTCGACATTATCGTGGACGGGAAACCATTACAAGCCATCATACATTGATCCTTTTTTTCTTCATTTTTCTTCTTCACAAATTTGATCGTATACGTACTAGTTTAGAAAGACATGTTTATAATTATGTTTATATTTTTACACCTATACATATGTATATATGTGTACATGTATATACAATAAAATATACATTTCCCTTTTTTAATTAAAAAAATAGCCAAAAGAAATCTACAAAGCGGACTCTTCTGTAATTGTGGCCTCGCTCTCGTTCTCAGTATTTCGTTGCGATAACCTCAAATGGTAATGATCCTCGTGTTTCTCGCAAGCTTTTCTCGCCAGTTCCAAAAGATTCTGTGCCATCTGATTGTCCGTCTTTTGTACCATTTGTGAGAAGTAGCCGTTCGGTTTTTCGCGCAACAGCTCGTAAGGGCAACCGAATTCCTGTTGAGGTAACAATTGTGATTATCATAAATACAACTTAGAAAATTTAAAACTTAACAAGAACTTAAGAAAATCTTTTCTTTGTTAAAAAAATATCGAAATAGGCGCGAGGACAACATCTTTATACTGTTATCGCGACAAATACACTCATTGTCGTATGAGTTTTTTTC